ACAAGAAAACACATCAGTAGAAAATACTGCTCTGTGTCTGAATTTGAAAGCTACTACGAATAATTTTATTGATTGTTAATAAACCAGGTGGAAAAAGATTGACACATTTTCTTGTCAAGAAAAAACAAGAGATCAAGGACAAAAGCTGTAGACTGGACCTTTTTGTGCCAATCTGCTTTATAGTTCACTCTTACCTTCTGTCACACAGAAAAGTTAGTCTGAAATGAGGATAATGTTAAGACAGTGTTCCTGAATATATGCACATCAGAGCAGCAATCCATAATGGTTAATCTGCTGGATACTATAACCCCAACAAACCAATGGAAACGCACAGATTATTACAAATGTTGATTTATCAATATGTGTGAAATTCCATATTGGAGTTACATGCACATACACAATGAGGTGAACTACTCTAAGTAAATCAAATCTACAATTTTGTATTTTTCATAGTTGAACTTATTGAAAGGTAAAGTTTAACTAAAATAACATAATTAGTAATAGTAAGTGTTCAGACTATAAAAAAATAACAAATAGTTTGAAATTTTTAAAACACAAAAATAGAAGTTTAAATATTCAAGTTCATAACTGGTTATATATCTAATGCATCATCTTATGTAACTAATATATGTATTTCATTGTGATTATTCATCTCCCTCTCCAAAGCTTATTGTAACATACAAAGCAAAATAAGAATATGAAAGTGGCAATATACGTGTTTTACTTTTCAAAAACAACAATAATGATAAAGAGTATGTTTCCATAATTAAGATAAAATCAAGCCATACATAGTCAGTATCTCTTAAACCCTAAATATGGACCAAGGTTATGTTTTGTTGAAGTTGTACGTGAATAATACCAGATTTTATGGACAAATCTGTCTTTGAAGAACTGTTACAGAACATACCCAACAAGTATGTATGAAAAAAAACAATAAACCCTTTTTAAGTAATTTTGGCCAGTAAAATGCTTTTATATAAAGCCCACATAACCAACAAGAAAAAGAAAGGATAACCAAAATCTACAATCCTGATTTAAAATTATTTAAAGCAATGATATTTCATCACCAGATTGTACACAGATGTTCACAAACCATACAAAATTGCTACCATGCTTGATGAAAAAATAGTGACAATGGAAGTGTTAATGTGTCATAGTACAAGTTTAGTAGCTCTATCATAAGAGGGAACATAACTCCAGAGTATATATATACATAACTACATCTTAGATATAGAATAATTTTTATTACAACCTATATGAATCTGACTAAGTGTCTACAGTTTAAAAAACAATTTTAAGGTTGCACAAAAAATGGCTACTAGTATGTTAAATAATATAACAGGTATCACTTCCTCAACAATAAGACTAGTATGTTAAATAATATAACAGGTATCACTTCCTCAACAATGAGACCATCTCCACATCTGGGACGAACTTAAATAACTAATAAAAATAAAACAACCAGATGTTGTGATTTAAAAGTCCACTATAATTTTAGCACATAACTAATTTCTAAAACAAAAAATTGGAAATATCAACAATCTAGACTATAATATCCACATTTTAGATAACATTCTTACCACATTTTGGGGAAGAAATGTTGAAAATGATATGGGATTGATTAAATAAGTTTTGATGAGAAGAAAAATAACAAGTACACTAAATCCTGTCTGAATACAAATCTCTGTGCCTTCTGTTCAGACAAGCCTCAGTTGAACAGCTAAGGAAAGAAAGAGGTGAGTTGATGTAAGATAGAGTGGTCAGGGGGAAAATGATGAAGGAGAGGCCTCCTATGAAAAGCCCATCCTATCCATTCATAAACAGAATATGTGAAAACAAGAGGAATGGAAGAGAAAGATGGCTGCACGTATGGAAACTCTAGCTCAACAAATAACAGACTGGACAATCCCACATGAAAAGAGGATATCACAAGTTGGGATGAAAAAAGGACAAGAGAGATGTACAAGAAGAGATGGAAATATGGGAAGAGGATGAGGGGGTTTAATTGAGAGGAGACATAGAACAGGGAACTGAGGTTGGACAATAAAAACTATTTCGTTATGTGTGTCACAAGACACAGCAAGAACACTCATTAGAAGGAAGAGAGGAGAAGATGAGGCCAGTGCTGACTGAGAGTATGCACGGCCAGAGTTGATGGGTGAGGAACAGGAGACCAGAATGGGGCAGATTGGTTGAGAATGGTGAGACAAATGCAGCCAATAAAGGAATACTAAGTTCGAAATGAACACAATGGAAATCTGTGAGTGATAGGTGATAAGTAGTCCAGTCATTAGAAACGATCCACCATGATAACTAAGAACCCGGGGCATGGAAAACAATCAAGCTCACTCGATTGGAATGGGCCCAAAATAGATTTAATATTTGGAAGCAGATAATACTGGAATGGGTGACCCTTGAAGATTGATAAGAGACACTATCATGAAATTTCTGAGTGAACCTTAATCCTAAGATCCACTAGAAGGTGAGAGAAATGGAAGCATGCCCATTGGACTGCAAGCACGACCAGAATGTTGATATGAAGAGAACTCTCTTCAAATGTCCAAGAACCTGAAGCAATTTAATGATATGAGAATGCTCCCCACTTAGCGAGAGATAAGTGGAAAATAGGAGATGGGCTTGGAAGGAGGTACAGGAATACCAAAGGTGGAGTACGAACAATCCAGCCACCAAGCAAGAATCTCCAAGAATTTGGTAGAAAGGATTATCCATGAGAACAAGAGATCCCTGGATGGGTTCCATTAGTCACTTAGGGCTCACTGGAGGTGATTCATATGAGAGTGGCTGAATAGACTGATATGATCCAGAGAAGCCATAGTCCCCAAAGAAAGAACCAAATGCATGGATGAAGAAGTAAAAGAGCAGACTTAGGTGATGAGACTTATGAGGTCTAGTAGTCAGGGAGGATAAGGTTGGGCACAACTGACGAGAGAGCTAAAAAAGTATCTAAAGGTAAATAAGACATTGGCACAGGGTAGTAAGGAGTTGGAAATGTAGACGAGCCATCCAAAACAATTGGTTCCATGATGCAGAAGGGAAGTTTGATCCACATATTCCACTTGAGAAAGGGAAAGAAGCCTGTGGACCATGTAAAAGTGGATCTGCAGTCCCAGACTTGTGGATGATGAGCAAAAGCCCTCATAATGTGATGGAAAACACATGAAGCTAAGTTATTCTGAATGAAAGGACACAGTCCCAGTGGACAAACCTGAAGTAAGATTGTGAGACAGTGGCTATAGGAACATGGAGAAATGCATCCAACCCATTTGCCTTGGTCATCCACAGGTCTTGTCAAAAAGGCCAGAGGAGAGAGATCAGTAATTCTCTTTCCAAAAACGAGAGATAAACCAAAAAAAAAAAAAAACGACTGATGGAAAATAGGTTCATGAATGGGCACTAGTTTCCTTTTTAATGGGGACAACAAGGAGGTAAGTAATAATTCAAAAAGGATTAGGAACTCACTCTATGGATTGCTACTCCAACAGATTCAAAACTGCCCCATCCAGACATTGGAGGAAGACTGGAAATGAGGAGGGAAGAAAGACTATGACATGGAGAGAAATGAAGCAGGGGAGAAAGTGGAGGACTAAACTATGGGTCAAGGCTAGAATGACTAATTTGTCTGGAGTGAAATTAGCCTATAAATAATGAACAAGACCTGAACCAACCAGATGGTCACTGACTGTTGGGATGATGGGATGAGCTTTGGGTGGAAGGCAGGGAAACTGGAACTAAACTGGAAAGAGGGGTGGGTGAGGTTGTGGAATAGATTGGGACAAACTCAATACTAATGAGGAATGGAACACTGATGGTGGTCGGCCTCAGCACTTGACTCCAGGGAATCAGAAACATTGCTAATGAGTTCTTGATGGAGTGATTGGGTAAAATGAAGGTCAAAAAGTAAAGAGGTCAGTAAACTGACATGGGAAGGTAGGGTATCTCTACCCAAGAGGTCCCAACAATAACAAACCATATGATAGATGAAAGTGCAGAAGAAGTTGATGGTGCTATGGAAGAGAATGAAAAGGTCTGAACGTATCTTGTAAATTCATTAAGGGAACAGTGGTGTGCCCTTGACATGAAATAGGGAGAGGGAAAATAACAAAGGAGGGTAGTACGGAAAGCAAATTGCAAAAATAAACATGTCTTTGAACGACTTTGCCAAGGGAAAGAATGAAGAATTTGTGTGCGAATGTACAGAATGCATTTGCACAAGGAGGTGTGACACACTCCTACTGGTGGAGGGTTTTGTTACACGCTACATTATGATGCAGTAGCACAAATTCACGTGTTTCACATTAAATTTAGGCAGGAGATTTCACAAGGCTGGTGGCATGCAAGTTTCTCAGACAGGTTAGCATGACTATAAGAGTGAAATAGCTTTTCGTGTACGGAGGCGAGTGATTATATCAGAATTACATACTTAAACCAAGCACAGTGTAATATTAGAAGGTATTAACAAAGCTTGCAGATATTTCATACATCTAATAACACAAAGTATGGTCAGCAATTGCAAACATACTTGTTATGTGTTTTTGCTACAAAATCTATAAGTCCCTTGCTGTAAGTATCTTTTTCTTTTAGTTTTATAAGATTTACTAAATATCTGATAATCACGTTACCTTTGTATCTATCACCAATCAAATGTACTATTGTATTAAACACTCCTTAATATAGGTGACTCCGATATCCCACAAATAAAATATAGCATGATTATTTATTTTTGAAATCAGTCTTAAAGCAGTAGTAACTAATGTTTTCTTATAAATTTTTTGTTCAGAGTACAAAGAAACCTACTATTTCAAAACTAGTCATAAATCCTCCTTTACACTGATAACTTAAAAAAGTTAATTGCTTAATCTTTACAACTTCAGTAAACTGAATCTTGAAATATAAAAATGTATTCTACTAGAATAAATTATTCCAGTTTCAATAATCTAGAAAAGTTACTAAAATGTTATTATAACAATAAACACACATACCTCAGTACTAACACCAATAATTGGAGAACTAGTTTCCCATCGGAAAGCTATTTGTAAAGTTTCAGCAGTTTTTTGCTGAATACTTTTGTCATCATCCAATAATGTAACTTCATAGAATTCTTGAATATCTAGAAGCGAAGAAATAAAATAATGAACTGGCAATGGTTTCTAAATATTTCACTACACAAACATTTTGTAACTAAAATAAAAACACTTAAGAGCAACATTTCAGATATACAATTACATGTAGGTTTTATTAAATATAAGTCCTCAAAAATCAAGTGTAAAAGCATAAACTTACTGCATTACTAATTTTACAGATAAAATTGTTTTCATATTCTTGGCTCTCATATTAGTTATGTTATGTACAATAGCAAATCACGGTGTTTGCTGATGATGAAAAAAAAATATTTGTCTAAGTCTCTTTAATAATGATTAAAGGGTGTGTAATTTATATCACCTAACACCCACGACAGCAAGATTTAGCATTAACTTATACGTTGCCCATTTGACAAGTAATTTGTTTTTAACATTGTTTGTTGTATTGCTAGAAAAACGTTTCAGGTAGATTTCTAGAAAGCCATGCAAGTTTCTGAATGTAAATATAAATATCCCTTTAACTGACAAACCCTCAGTCACACACACTAACAAGTATATTTAAATTACTGCAATATTATTATTATTATTACATTGCTTTTGTCAACAATAAGAGCCCAATAAAGTCTTCTAGCTCTAGGAATAATACATAACATATTAAAAGTACAAAAAGATCTACAGTTTCATACATATATATCAAACACCATTCTAGTCCATGACAGCATTAACTTAACCAATGATGTCTTAATCAGCTTCTGCATTAAGTATTCTACATTTTGCACTTAATGACTAAATGTAAAAAAGATACAGAAGCAAATATATATATATAGAAATGAAGAGCTTAGGAGCTTAGGTGCAAAACATGGAATACGGCATTCCCACAAAAACTAAGCTGGCAATAGCATTGTACTGAAGGATATGTGGCATTTTGACTAAAAAAAGGGCTATGGATATAAGGTATTTTTTCCAAAAGTAATATACATTTTGTAAAATTTGAGAAGGGCAAGTAGGTTTTTCTGGAAATATTTCCCTCGCACAAGAAGTTTTTTTTTAAATGCTGCACCACTGTGATTTCAAAAAAGTAAAACAGTTTTTATTAATTGGTCATTAAAAATAATGAACCAGGCACAACTGGACAAAAATATGTATTTCTGTATGTAAGTTCCTAATTATGACAACAAAAAAATCACAGTTGTCCATTACAAAAGACAATAACAACAAATTATATATTATACAAAGAATAAAAGTACACTTTAATCAAGTAAACATAAACCCTAAAATCCAATAAATAAACATCTTTACAATTAATATCCATAAGATCCAAAGTCAACAATCACATTTATACTTATTGCTATAGTACTGTGTCCTTTGTGTTTGTGTGTGTGTGTGCATGAAAGGTGTTTTTGTTTGTGATTCCATAATTAATTTAGATTTTGTTTTGAGTATCTTGCATCTTACATGTGTGTGTGTGTTTGGAGTTCTGTCATATATATTTTTTTGTATGTTATGGTTTAAGATCATTATTACTGTACAAGCTTAAATCACTAGTCTTGTTTGAAAGGGAACACTAGTCTTGTTTGAAAGGGAAAAACTGTTTGTATTCTTCCAAGTTTCATATACAATACAGCTCAATACTTGTTTTATAATGTTATAATTTTGAATCAGAAGTTCTTTCTTGGCCTTCATCACATTTTAATTTTGAAATCTTTAATCTCACTTTATCTTGCTTTATGTAACAATTAGTTTGTTAACCCATTTATGCATGGGAACTTATATGTAGGAAGCTTTAAGAGCTCAAATTTACCTCTGTACAATGTAAATTGTATGCCAAATCCTAAATGTACCTGATCCTAATTTTTAGTTATAATAAAAGTATAATCTATTTGAATTTTTCTTGGCATTTCAGTTTTAGATACATCTATGTAAAAATATTTCATTAATATTGCAGTTAGAATCACTTTGGGCATGAATGAATTAGTTAAAGATGTTACTGACCATATTAGTCTTCTAAATTGAGAATAATTCATTGTAGTCCAGTACATATAAATAATTTTTTTATCTTTGAATTTATTTATAATGTTAACAGGGTTCTTTCTTACTTGGGAGAGAAAGACTCACAAATATGAGGCAAAGGATCTGTTTCTGAGTTTTCAGCATATAAGAAAATAAAAAAAATAACTCTTAAGATAAGCCATTTTTATGGCCTAAGTAGTAATTTGTTACCATCATGAAATTCTTTAACTCAGAATCAGATATTTTTGTCAAGGTCTGCTATGTATTTTTCCTGTTGCAGCTTTTTTTTCATCAAAAGATAAACTTAGTTAAATTTTTTGGCATGGTTAGCATTATGAGTAGAAGTCACTTTTAGGAATAGCATCATCTTCAACAAATGTACAGAAAGAGGAGATTGAATATGTCTTTTATCTTGTGGTATGAAAGTCTGTTTGTAAACCTTGTACCATCAGATGAAAGAGAGATTAGATAGTCTAGCTTTAAAATAGCAATCTTTTTGTGATTATTTCATTACAACTGGGTGTAAACACTCCAGGAATAGGCTTGGAGAACCCTAGGTAGGAAAGGCTCTAAGTGCTTCAATTTGGATTCTTTGTTTTCTTCAGTGTTAATTTTTTGCAGGTCTACTTACCTTTAAAGCTGTAATGATCAGTATTTAAGTAATCAACATTCCATATCTAATGTAATGATGTCTATTAATAGCAAAAGGAATTAATGTGTTTTTACTAATTAGCTTAAGATTTGTTTTACTATATAAGTTTTAAGTGTGTGGTAAAACTTAAGTATTCCATATGGAGATTCCAATATGTTGATAAATGAATAAAACAGATTTAAAGGTGAGGGATTTGTTTAAAACAGGCACAATTACTTTTTTAACACTTGAATTGGATGCCATTTTTCTGTATGTCACCAATAAAAGACACAAGCAATGGAACAAAGACAGTTAGATTTGACTCATCTTAATTTATTTTCTAGGATGTTTTCAAAACAATTGCCAAGTATTTATGAAAATATCATTCTGTTCCATAGGTTTAATGCTTTTTCTCTGAAAAACATTTCCATCGTTTCAACTTTGTTAGTGTACCATAATTTTACAGTTATACTTGTACTCCTAATACAGTGAAATAATTAATAAATATAAAAATCGGGTACAGTAATTTGGAATTTGTATTGGATAGAAAGATGTATAGTATATTCAGAAGTTACAGTATTTGGTTAGATTATATGATGTTATAGGACACTTATTAATATGTTTATCTGTACAAGAAGGGCCACATGTATATCTGACTTATCTAAAGTAATGTTTTGTTAAATCACACTTATTAATATGTTTGTTTACATGCAATCACACATCAGAAAAGGCTACTTATATACCTGGCTTATATAAAGTAATACTTTATTAAATTTGACAACCCTTGTCTTCTTGTGACTATTTTCCGGAAGAGAGTGCTGAAACAGTCAAAAACCAACAAAAAACCAAAAGTGCCTTTTCTACTGCTTCTCAACAGTGATTTTTAAAAAGAAAAAAAAATCCCATAACTTATGAGAAGCTTGTAGGTTTCTTAATTTCCAAGGAATTCTGATATCCACAAGTTTGGATTGCCTCTATCTATGACCCTGTCCTTGTACAGGTCTCATTAATTCACAGCCAAACACCTATTAAGGTGCAGGACCAAGTATAAGGCACACAGTATAAGTATGATATCAAGAGAAAGTTATATTGTCAAAAAGTCCCCAAACCTCCATCAGATCCCAAGAAGAATTTATAAAAAAAAAAAGTTGAAATAACAAAAGAATGACTATATAACTTAAAAACAAGACACAACACAAAGACATTTCCTTTTCATAAAAACAGTTTATGTGTACAAAATCTTGACAATGCTTTGCAAAAGGGGGCAGTGCCAACATGTTTCAAGCATTACCACCATCTAATAAACCAAGAAAGGGAAGAATGAAAAAAGGCCAGGAATAAGAAAAAGGTATTTTAGACTATTAATATTATTAAATCATTTGAAATGTATGTATAACTTTGTTCTACTCTACATTACAGGACCACAATAGACCATAACGTTGTTTTATCTAGTGTCCACAGGTTTAAAATAAAAAATATTCAAAATGCATTTTATTTCTTTAATTTCAGAAAAGAATGTTTATATGCTGCCTCGTGGTAAATAAACACAAAAATATTAATTTTGGTTCTTCAGTATTTTGTATGCACTACCACTTCTAAACTTATATGCAGAGGAATGAGTGAGTAAACTATCAGTGTTTGTACATCACAAGCAGGAATGCAACCCAACATGTAGAATTACTCATGAAACATGTGGCAGTAAATAGTCCAATATTTATTATCTTGTTTTATGGTCATCTTTACATAATTTTGTTTCTTAACCAACAGATATAATACTTTTACATACAGCTAAGATATATTAGAGGCAAAGTTTCCCGTTAATACTTGAAAACTGTGAAATCTTATTTCATTTACTATTGTAATACAGTCCAAATCTCTATTATGCCTACAATCAAAAATAAATATAATTCTGCTTCTTAAATAATATACGTCTTAATAGTTATAAAACAAATAGCTACAGGTAGCTCACTAACCTATGGCTTTATACACTTTAAATGAAAATGTTTAAGCCAAAAAAATTACATCTTCCACAAACTTTCTAAATACTGAGTATGTAGTTTTGCATGAATTGTCCAATTAATTGATATAGTCTTAATAGTTTAGGAGCTGTAATTTTATATAAAACAAATAGCTACAGGTAGCTCACTAACCTATGGCTTTATACACTTTAAATTGAAATGTTTAAGCCAAATTACATCTTCCACAAACTTTCTAAATACTGAGTACGTAGTTTTGCATGAATTGCCCATTAATTGATATATACATGTATATGGTAAAAATTTTGCAACATTGTGTATTTCACATCTAATTTTGAATTCTATACAAAGATGACAACTTTTTAAAAATCTCTCATGGTATTTTATACACATATGTATATTAAAAATATCAAGTTAAAGACCTTTTAATTAATTAGTCACAAAAAATTTGTTGAAAGACACAAAAATACTTTTATTTATGGAATCTCTACTGATAGTGCTTTTTTGCACATATTCTAGGGATAAGTTAAGTTCATTCTCTAGCTGTTATGTTTCTTGATGCTCATTTTACTAGGCTACTAAATATGGATATATAAATCTTTATTAATATAAATATATAGGTGGTGTCATCAGCAGTTCTAAACATATTCTAAGCACAAGGAGTGCACCAATAAAATCTAAATTGAAAACACTAAAATCTAATTATTAGTAAAACAGATACATTCCAAGATATTGTACATAAATCTGTTTCTAAAATAGTTACCATGGTTTAGTTTAAAAGATTAATATTCAGTAAAATTCAAATAATGATGCATATTATGGGGAATAACCATTTTGGTTAATAATGTAAACAAGACTCAGTATATAAAACTTACAGCAAAAAGACTGCATTAGTACATGCATTAATTATGAAAAACATGAAAACACTTACTAGGATCTTTTTTTGTTTTTTTGCACAATTATACTATATACAACACAACTCAAGATTACTAAACAATTGCATAGAAGTAAAACTTAGTACTTTTGTGTGTGTGTTTGCAACTTGATAGTCAAAAACCACATTTAAGAACAATATATCAAATGAGCTTACACAGCATATCATACAAGTATAAAAAGAATGTCTTGTATTACCAAAATACAAAGTAAAAATATTCTTCTTTGCCACCTAATGTCAATCTTAACATTTTGATAACAGATTTTTTTTTACTTAAATTATACATTGTGTACATATTATAATACCCGAGCCACAACATATCTTAATAATCAACAAAGCAATTAAACAACTTGTTGACACGATAATATTGATAAGTACTTAGCAAAATCAAGTTCCACTTAAGTTTGTATGCAAGATACTTGAGAGTGTAACCACAAACTGATAAGCCTAAAATGATTACTCCATACACATACAGAAAATAAGTAGCATAGCTATACCACTTCCTCTTTACACCTTTTGTTTGTGCTTGTTTGTTTACATATGTATATTAATGTGTGATTACAATATAAATGAAGATCTCCTACATTCTACAAATATATTATACTTCTCGTTCATACAAACGTACTTGTGGACTCGGTTTTGTTCTTGCTAGTGCTAGAAGCAAGTAATAAGATATGCATCAAACAAGTAGAGCTGGGTGATTTAATTAATTACTATAACTGATTACCTATGAGCAGTGATCAAGTGTTTCCAGATATTACTGTTTTTGATTACTACAACAATTGTCAAAAATAGTAATAACTGTCAAAAAAGTAATCAGCTAATTGAAATTGGGGTTTCTAATTATTAAGGTTTTCAACTATGCCAACAACTGATTAATCAAAATTACAATTAAATCAACTGTCATGAAAATAATCAAAATATTGCCACAAAATTGCTTGCCCTGTCTTTGTTATACCAAAGCTAACAGCTATCTGGAACTTTCACCACTTTTTAGCTGTTAGGAAAGCAATTTGCTGGCAGCACTAACCACCAACTGTCTTTTGTTTGTGTTTTGGAACTGCTGACTAGAAGGAAGGAAACTGTGTGGCCAAACTTTTTTCTTTTTCCTTTGAATTACTAACTAGAGGGAAAGTAACTGGCTGACAGCACCCACAGCCAATTGTTTTTCTTTGTAGGAACCATGTTTAGGGAACACTGCACTAATCAATTAAATAAGCCATTATTTAATTCACTAGCAAATACCACTAATAGTCCAGCTCTATAAACAAGTGGCAATAAGTATTTCAGAAGTAAGCTTTATTATTCTCCTAGTGTTCAAAAGTAAGTTATAATAATTTAAAATTTTTAACACTAACTTCAAAACAATTTTATCTTACCTAAAAGTGCCTGGAATAGCCTACTCTTGAAAATTTTTATGACACGTTCAATTGCATTTTTAAGCTGTTTGTCTTGGGTGTGAATTAACTTGTTGTGATATTCTTCTAAAAGTTCCAAAGCACGGTGAGCCTCTGAAAAAAACAGAAAACAATCAAAATATTACTTTTCAATTTTAATATTCTTAAACTAACTTCTGAAATAAAACCTTGTAAATTAGTACAAAGAAATATTGTTGCTTTCTAGACTGCTATTTGCCTAATACCTCAGTCACACGAGTTTTCAGTCCATGTAAATACTTATTTTTTAAAATAAAATACATCTTAAAATAAATACTTACCACTTGCATCAGAGAATGCAATAGTTTTTGTATAACAAATTTTCATAACATAATATTTAAGGTCAATAAAAGACATGTTGGTTCATTTAGGCTGTCCCATCTACTAAACTAAGTTAAAATAAAATAAAAAACTCAAAACCAGCCCTTAACATTTACATATTTATCAAGCTTTCCCTTAAACAAATTTATTGCACCCACCACATCTGAAGACAACCCATTCCAAAAGTCTATCACACTGTCAGAAAATTAAAACCGTCTTGGCTGAAGATGACTCCTACCATACTAAAATTTATAGTTGTATCCTCTGGTCCTATCATTCTCACCATTAATAATTAAAAAAGATGGTGCATCAACATTATCAATTTCATTAATAATCTTAAACACTTCAATCAGTTCCCCTCTAATTCTTCTTTTTTCAAGATAAAACAATTTCAGAAATCTTAACCTTCCTCATGTGACAACCATTCCATTCCAGGAATAATTCTTGTAGCCCTCCACTGAACCCTTTCTAATAATACAATGTCTTCTTATATTAAAGACCCTAAGACTGTACTCCAAATGAAGACTAACCAGTGACCTACACAATGAAAGTATAACCTGAAGATACAACCTAAAATCTTATTTGCCTTACCATTAGCAACATGGCTCAAAATAAATAGAAGTGTTTCAAAATGCCTTACTTATGAAAACATTCACTGCAATGGCCAGCAAGGACATAAATATCTCCAATGATCTCACTTAGCACCTAATCAGGATCATCCAAGCATATCTGTTCTACAAAATTGTCAAATTTGAATACAGCTTTACCTCTTACAAAACAGATAACTATGCTCAACATAGAAAATGGAAGAGCCAGAGAATGAAGGAAGTAGCAAACACATGTAACTTACCAGAAAAATATTGGGATGTGGTAACCTCATCCAAATAAATTATCTCAACTGTTAATATGAACAATGAACAACAAAAGGTTCTGGAAATGAAAGAAACTGTGTGGCCCTCCTTTTAGTGGAGGGCTGATGTCATATACTGATGACATTATGCACCAGTACAGTTCATGTTAAACACATTTTTTAGGCAAGAGGTAGCTCAAGGCTAGTGGTATGCAAGTTTCCTAGGCAGATGCAGAAAGGGATCATGATATTCTGTGTGAAAAAGTGAGGTTTTCTGGTTTTACAAGGTCATTTTGATCATGAATTTAAAAAATATGTATATGTGATCGTCTCTTATCTATCATCCTTCTCTTCTGACAAACATTTTTTTCTGCTTTTAGTAATTATTATAACACGTATTTTAATCAACGACATCAAATCCATAAGAATTAAATATTTTAGGCAAACAGTTCATTGCTAAATTTACAGTCATTGTAAATACGTTGTTATAAAAGAATGAAAAAAAAGTGACTTCTCTGTTCATAAAATACCAAAAAAAGCTCTGTTTACAAAATGTTTGGAACAATCATTTATTTTCACTCTGTAACTAATACAGTTTAAAAATATTTTGGAAGCTTAATATTGTTTTAAGCATTGTATTATTTCACATTTTCCTAAAAATGTGCATATATAATTGAAACTGTAATATAAGTAATGGTTCATATGTGAGTTTTTGTTTTTTCTGAATAAGCACATGATAATTTTGATCATGTCAGCACTTTTACATATTAGAATGAGCAAATATGTTTCCATTATGTTGTTATAATACTTTCATACTCCTGGTTTAAAGAATCAGTATCACAGACTTGTACTTCTAAACATACCATATTTTTTAGCCAGAAGTATAAAGAAGTGAAATAGCATCTGAGGACCTCTAGAACAAAGTCAAAACTCAATATGTGATTGGTAAATCAATTTGTGTAACTTTCCACTGGTTTTGAGCTTATAATGAAAGATCAACAACAAATTTCTTCTATACTTTTCTAGCAAAACTTCACAATAAATATGACTTTGACAACGCATTTTATGTTTAAATATAGTTCTATGATCAAAACACCCAAGTATCAAAAAGGATTCATTAAAGATTGCATACTGTTACTGACATGAGTGTTACTTCTTGTGAAGAGTTTACAATAATTCTATGTAAATTAATGTGTCAAACCTGCACCTGAGTCTTTTTTAAAAAAGGGAAAGATCAAAATCATAAATAATATTCAACGTTAAACTGGTACACAAAGATAGGCCTAAATAAAAGTCAACTTTTTGAAGGCCATAACTCTACATGTTTCGACGTTACAACGTTATCCTCAGGGTTATAGGGTTTTAATCATTTTATGTAAGGAACTGATATTATTATTTTAATTTTAAAAGTAGGTGAAATTAACAGTTTTAAAAGTAAAATATATAGGAGATTAGCATTAATTAGTTGGACTAATTGCAACAGTGATCATGTTTTCGTTTAAATTTTAAACAACGTTATTAACCAACAAGGAACTTAACGTGCACATAGTTTAGAAAAATGTGTTTAAAAGGCCTACGAGGTTATGGGCCCCAATGGTAATTCTAGGGTTAAGAATCATGCTGAAGCCACATGTGTGACCGTGGTGTATATACATACAAATGAAAACAACAGTACAGCTGTAGTTCAGGCAATCTATACTTTTAATTGCATCACGACCGATTTAAAATTTCACGTATTACTAGTTGAAAGATACAAAGTTGAGCTACTACTAATTTACGAAACACTGTCCTCACAAAAATCGCAATCACATCAGCCGAACGGTACATGATCCCCCGTCGTCTTTATATAGTCACTATGGACGGATATAAGTATTAAAAGCATCAAATAACTGCTGTTACTT